TCCTTCCGCCCGCCCGCCCACCCCACCCTCCCCCCTCCCCCCCTCCCTCCCGCCCGCCCTCCCACCCAACCTACCCACCCACCACAACCCTCCCTCCCTCCTCCTACACGCCGCACATATATACCTCCTCCCTCGTCCTCAACCTCCACGACCAACACGCCCGCCTGCTACATATTTGCCTCCTATTAACCAACCGCCTATATCGACACCTGCACCAACGTACTTACCACCTTATGGACAACAAGATTCCATCGCTGGATCATCAGTTACATCAAATGCAGATGCTTCCTCGCATTTTTCCAGTCCTTTAAGTATTCCGACAACCGGTGTGATAAAGTTAAGCGGGCCAGCCAGTTCAAGTTTTGCAACCGCTTCAAGTTCAGCCAGTGCGTCTAGTGGAACGTTCACTGGACAACAAAACTACCCAAGCCAACCTATTGTCTCCATCCTTGCTGCACCAAGCTACAGTCCTGCAAGTGAGAGTTATCCTTCTCCCACGTCGGGGTATCCTTCTGTAACATCAGGCTATCCCGCGGCTACTCCGGGATATCCCTCGGCAACACCAGGATATCGTTAACTCGACCACTGGCTAGTTGAATACTGCTGAAGATTATTTGTCACTCATTCCTTATCCATCTATTTCACTAGAATATCTAAGTTATCTTTATCTGCGTTAAGTTGTTTAGTTTTATGAAAACATGTCAAACCAACAATATAATATAGGAGATATTTACTAATATCTATTAACATTTGGCGATCGTAACACGTATCTATCATTGACTTAACAATAAGTAATGCTTATGAAATTTAAGACACTTATTTACAACTTTTAATTAACAGCATAACAATATTTTGACATTATTCAGTGAAGATATATAACAACCAGCTTTTCTAGTACATTCTGCTTAGTCCTATTGCAGTTCTTAAAATATGCGTGTGACAGTTATTCACTCATAAAACGAGATAAATTTATATCCAGAATTTGGAAAAAAAAGCAAAATGTTAAAAACACAATTAAAACAAATAAGTTTTATATTAATTTTAATTTCTGTTTTCGAAGTATTTACTGCATTGTAAAGTAGTTTAATTTTACAATTTTGAAAAGTATTAATAGGGAGTTTTATGTCAAATTATATTAGCCATTTTAACATATTTTTTACAATCACCAAAGTAGTATGTAATGTAGTTTCATAATAGATTTATACACAAGCACACAATATTTTTCGTTGTAGCAAATGAAGTTCAATTTAAGAAAACCCGCTCACATTTTAACAGTAAGTCAATCGAAAATATTAATGTGTTATAATCAGTAAATAATTGTGGGATATATTTAAGATGATTAATCATTTGCTTGTTAGACATTTACAGAGGATCGTGATGGAATATCTTAAAAATATCTCTGAAATGTATTTATTGAATCGTTGCAAATGAAATGTCAATTTTATGCAGATAATTT